ATTGCCACCGCTCTAGAGTCGAACAACAGCCAGAGACTACTCAGTAGAACGAGACACAGAACTGCGGCTCCCGTCCTCCACCTCCTGGCCATCGAGGCGTCACCCAGCCGGCACTCTTCTCATCGCCGCCGCCTAACCCACCCCGGAATCCGAGCTTCCACCAACGAGGAAAACAGAGAGAGAGAGAGAGAGAGAGAGAGGTGGTGATGGCTGCCTTGGAGTGCCGGAAGCTCCGGCTTGCACAGTTTAAGAGAGCTGGAGGTCGAACACCTGCCCGTGATCTAAGATATAATATCAGGAACACCACTGGTACGACGCCGTCGATGGCGGGCGCTGTCTTCTTGGTTTCGCATTTAAACCATGGTCTATTAGCCTCACTCTTCGTGTTCATCACCTTTAACTTGGAACCAACTCGAAGCAAATGGTGGCACAAACTCGCCTAATCAACCTCGTTGTCACAAACCAAACAGCTGGAAGATGTACAAACAAGTATAAATCATCGAGTCTTCTTCACTGTTGCCTACCATCATCAACCTATCCCTGCTGTCTCTGTCTACAAGAGTTCCCATCGAATACCTTCGGGTGTAGGCGACAGTGAGTTGGTCATTTCAGCTGCGCAGCTTGCATCATGGATCTTTGATGGGACAATGCTGCACTTTGAGCATACCCACTTGTCCTCTGCACAGCTTTGCATGTTGATATTGGTAATTAGATATGATTTCTCGACTTCCACCATTTTTTCTGAGAATTTTTCCTACACTCGATCAGAGGTGTTCTTCTATTAACCTAAGTAGGGTCAGATGATTAAGTAGGTTAGGAAAACCAGACAAACTGGCCATCGTGTGGGTCAGGGAGAATCTAACCCACTATATTAAGCTGCAGAAACAAATGGTTTCTGGGAACTGACAAGGTGGGTGATCGGGGGATGATCCACGTTGCCGGAGACTTAGAACACGGTCATTTGGAACTCTTTCAACCCTTCCTTTTCCTGCTGCACTCCCGAAGGAGAGTGGTGTAGAAAGGCCAACGGAAGGGGGAAGACTGGCCAGGAAAAGCCGGTCCTTGGTGCGCAAAAGCCGGGGTCTTTTGTCCTTGCAAACCACCGAACCAGCTTTCCCAGCCGGAGGTCATAAAGCGACTACCGGGAGCTTCTCCTTGGCTTTTGTTCTCCCCTTGGCTTCTTGTGTTCGTCCCCTTCCCCACTTGTCTGGTCTCAGCGTTAATGCCCCTCGCATACCACCCGATTCATCAGCCCCCATAACCTGACCATGTCGTCGCTGACTTCCACGTGCGATCCGGTTAAGCTGATGAATGCCAATGAATGAGCCAACCACGAATAGAACCAATGCATACGCTTGATGATGGTACTACTTGCACTCTCATGAAGAAAACAGGGAGTCGAGAGTATGGGCTAAGAGGAAGGCCATTTGATCTGAGCAAAGCCCCGTGGTCTGCACCGGCTTCCAATGAGATAAACACCGACATCAAACGCACCTTACACCACCGGGCACGGCCGGCCGATACGGTCGGTGCACGCTTTAACACCATCACTTACAAGGAGTGAATGCGTCAACTACTCGCCTTAATGGAGGAGCATCTCCGGCGTTGCTCATGTCGCCGGTGGTGGTGATTCATTCCTTGGACCTGGATGCGCAGGCGATGAATGATTCAGGTTCAGCCTCGTATGAACTGTTGGCCTGCAGGCACCTGGAGCGATCACCTTCTCAGAGTGCAGGGCTTGATCGATCCATGCATGCACTGCATCAGCTGCGTCCTTAGAGCATGCGGGTCGAGGGGGCAGACGAAGCTTCAAAGTGGGAGATCATTGCATTACTCTTAGGAAGAAAGTTAGAATCCCCTCTAGACGATGAATCAATTGAGATCAAGCCAGACATTAGATCACATATACAACATCGAGTCCAGAACAATAGAAATTTGTACTCTAGACTCAGGCGTTGGTACAAGGAACTTAATATTCTTGCAGCCTACTCCACAGCAGATGGTGGCCACTAATCAATTATAAGCATCTTCTTCACCAACACTTCAGAGGATTACATGTACCATAGCATCATTAACTTCCCCCAAAGGATGGGATTAACTCCATTGATTGCAGCATTTGGATCTGTCTTTTCGGGCTGTTCTTTCCTTTATGTGCACTTAACACTTACCCTTCTCAGATCCTAAATCGACGGGGGATTCGTATGGTTGGCAAGAAGGGCCCATCGCATCCTGACATCTCGCTGTCCAACATGGCCGACAAATGTCCCCGAAGGTTGGGAGGCGTGCAAGTTGCCATGGTTACAGGAGAAGCATGAGCTGCTCCTCTGCTCCATGTCACATGGAAATCTAAAGCTTGGTCGAAGAATCACCGCAACAGTTTCGCGAGCAGAGCTGGGAAAAGTGGCGGGATTAGAACAAGAAATCGTGTTCTTGGCTTTGCATGAGTTCATGGCCGGCTGCAGGCAGCGCCAGTGAACTGGGAAGCTGTTATGTTTGCCATTATTATGAGAGGCTTCATCAAACCCCAATCTTAAAATGATTCAATCAAAATTGACGATAATTTATTATTTTACATACTTGATAGTGATCCTTTACACTATCAGCACTGCTTGGTTGTCATCGACGTCGGGACTTGCGGCGGGAGTCATCAACCGATGGGGTCGGGCTTTGGCTTCTGGAGACTCTCCTTTGGTTGGTTGCCTTCCTCTCTATCATCTATCCATGCATACACGTCGAGGTCAGGAAAGGAACTCCCGACTTCGACCCCTCCGAAGATTTTCTTAAAATTGGGTGGAAAATGAACCTAGGACCCATCTCAATCATCGACCTCGCGATAGGTTTTTATCCTTTATCCCGGGGATCGATCGTACCTATCATATTTATAGTTGCTGACTCATCGAGCGATAGGCTTACTCCTCGAGCATATGTTGGGCGTCCTCAGTGCCATGGCGGTGAATAGTGGTGCCGCACTCGATGCCATCTCTACCTTTGTAGGACAGCGCTGTACTCGGTCGACACCGTCTCGTTCTTTGCGGGACGACGTTGGGCTTTGGTGGCGTCGTCCCAACTTTTGCAGGATGGTATCGTACTCAATCGGCACTGTCCCGATCTTTACGGGACGATGCTGTACTTGGTCGACGTCGTCCAACATCTGCGGAACGACATTGACCGAGGGGCGTGGTCCGCTATGTTGACCTTGACACTGATATGACTATGAACAGTGGTGTAAAGTGTAGGTTATCAAAATGTGCCCTATCAATACTTATCCATAATCCAACATTATAGTATTTTTAATATAATATCGGGCATTTTCGTGAGAAGTGTCTTCTTATTCTTGGTAATTCTCTAATAACTCTATTTTTTTTATCTAATACTAAAAATATCCATACTCATCTATTCTTTTTCCTAGTGATCAATTCAATTACCATATTTTTATACTATATTATAGTTTTTTTTTATCAATACTAGGAAAACATTATAATATAGTAAAAAAAATACTATTATAATTTTTTTATATTTTTTATAAACATTATAACACAATATAAAATACACTATCACGAATTCAGTTCATCGGATCGGTATATAAGAAATAAAAAAATTAATTATCAAATCAATAATATTATCAAATCAATTATCAAATCAATAAATAAAAAAATTTATATTATTGATTTTATATTATTGATTATCAAATCAATAATATATATATATATATATATATATATATATATATATATATATATA